GCAAAACAACGCCCGAGGCCAGATCTGTGTGCTCTCCGCCGAGGGAAACACGGTGCAGGAGGTGTTTACAAAGATGCACAACGAATCTGCTCGCGCCGTGCAGCGCTACGTCAAGGCCAATGGGTTCCAGGCCGCCGAGGGCCCCGGGAAGAAGGCCAAGAGCCGGCGGGGGAAAGCCTTCCCAAACTATGAAGACTACCTGGATTCGTCCTCGGATAGCGACGACGAGGGCAACGTCTCTGACGCCTCGACGAGGTCAACGCGGAGCAGCATCGTCTCTTCCCAGTCCACGGGTCCGGTTCTCACGCCGCCCACCTCGACGGGCTCGACGACGGCATCGCCAGAGCGCTTCGCCGCCAGCGCAAGCTCTGTTCCCGTGATGAATCTTGTGACACCTACTGTCCCGGTGCCCCCTCCGGGCTGGCCCAATCGATGCAACATGGCGATGCATGGTCCTCTTCCTCCTCCTCCGCCGCCGCCACTTGCGGCTCGAGCATTCCAGCCTGCATCCATGGTGCCGCCGCCGCTTTCGTACCTAGGCGGTGCCACGTACCCTGTGATCCTGACGCTCAAATCCAAGGCCTACGGCGAGCTCATGGTTCTGGATAGGTGTAGCCTGGACTATGTCGTCATCGTCACGCGCGCCTGCGAGATCCTTCTCGACCGGTTCCATGAATTCTCCAGGGCCCCTGCCGTTCTGCCTTCCAAGCTGCAGATTCGACAGATGCGCCGCGAGATTGAGAGCGTCACGGTCAATGGGGAGAAGTATGTCCTTGGCGGCAGGCATTTCGATTTGTCGGCGTTGCCATTGGGTCCGGCACCCAAGGGTCTGAAGATTGTGCTTTCGGTGCACGACGGTGCCAGTTGACGGGGAGGGACGACATTTAGCCCAGACTAGCCTGCTTGATTCGAGTGGTGTATGTGTGTGTGTGTGAGAGCGTCTTTATGCGTTTTCTCGTCAGTGTGTAATGGAGAGTTTGAGTCTGTACACAAACCGGAAAAATTCATGCCGACTCTGGCACCAAGTTTTGCAGACTTGGTCCATGGGAAGGAACATTTCACGTGGTTGGCTTGCTACTACCTAAAAGATAGATTGATAGTTTTTCTTCTTTCTTTTTCTACTGTCTCCCTTTGCATCCTTCCTTATTCGCTAGTTTTGACGCTGCGGAGTCCTCCTAGATAGAAAATAAATACAGACAAAGTGTTGTTGCTCAGCAAACAAAATGGCTTCTATTCGTCCTGGTTCGCCAAAACCTCCCTTGGCAACACCACATGCCCCCCCTTCACGATGCCATGGAACCCAGAGCAAAAAAAAAAAGGCTTGAAACATCGGGCCAAGATGCAAATTTCTCAACAAATCACATGCTGCACGTTTTTCAAGGGAAAACGCTGGAACCTGCACCTCGGGTACATGCACAGCACGCATGTCTCTCAACACACGACCACTTGCCACTTTCTGCCGCTTCCAAGGCACCGCGCCGTCAAAGCAGTAGCGGCGTGACTTTACTTTTGTTTTGTGACATAAAGAATACCAATACTACTACAAGGCCTCACCTCTATATAGGGTGGCTTGCATATTTATATGCACGATACGGAGTACAAGCCGGGGCCTCGCCAGTTATGGTGGATTCGTGGGGCCGGCACATGGCAACACACCACAACACGCCCTCTTTGCTTCTCTTAGCAATGCGAAATGGTCTCGAGTTGCACGCGGGTTTGTTTTGGAGCTTCGTTGAACTTCTTTTCTTTTACTTCTTTCAACTTCATAAAGGGCCATGCAAGTGTATCCAAGACTTGTTCAATTGTTGTATTTCACGATAGACTGGGTGAGCAACGCCGCTCGAGACATTCGGTTGTCGCTATTGACGGCATTGGCAGGCGTGTTTGTGTGAGAGGTGGGACAGAGCCAGTGAGGCGGTTTTGCAGCGGGAGCAGGGAGGACAGCATGTGTTGCCGTGTTGGCTACTTTGCTTCTTTTTTGCCTTGTATTGTCGTCGTTGTAACCTGGCTGGTGGCGATGGGACCATCGTGGAATAAATGGTCTGATGCTTGATTGATGTTGCAGCATTTGCTGTTGGGCAGCCATGGCTACTCGATATTTGCCCCTCAACAGCCCAAATTCTGGCCGATAACCCTAGTTCAGGCCCATGCCTAGGAAGGGGGCCCGCATGCTCGCAATCTCCATGATACATGAGTCTGAAAAAAAAAGGAGAGATGACATTGTATCACAAATATACATGGAACGACACAACGCCTGAAAGAACCACGTCCAACAAGCTGAGCCGTGCTTTATTGCGCCTTGCGCTCGGCTTCCGGCGCCTGCAGAGCGCGGAAAGCCCTGGCCGTCTGCTTATAGCTGTCATAGAGGAAAACTAGAGGCACGCCATTAGTCGCATGTCACTTCTTTTTCTTCTCCTTTATCTCCCTTCTCCAAAACACGCCGGGGTTGCATGAGGGCTATGTGCATGTTTGCTGTGACATAAGCCATCTGAATGAAACAACATACCGAATGGTACCACGGCCCAAGGCGCATTAAGGCAAATATAATATACCCAATAGTATTGCGCCTCAGGCCGACTATACGAAACCCCTGTGGTGCGAAAATCGCCCAAGTTGGTGCCGTAGTATAGGGCAACGCCGTACAGGTGTGCCGTGCATACGATGACTTGGTTGATGTGGCGGTAAGGCGAGTTGGTCAGGATGGCGAAGTAGGTGAGCCAGCTGAGAGGGCCCCATGCCAACTAATGCACACGAGTAAGCAAAATATGATGGTGAGGATTTCACGGTGATTGCGATTGGGCAAGAATTGTGTCTTGTTTGGAAGCACGGAGTAGTGGCGATGTGGGTTAAGCAGTGAGACGGCCAGATTGGAAACTTACAGCGGTAATGGTCTCAACACAAACGGTAAACACATCAGACGTCAAGTATCGAGAGTCTGAGAGCGTATACTCCTTCCACAGCTGTCCAAACACAGTCTGCAACTCAGGGATGCTGGTGCGGTTGTACACATAGTAGCCTGAAACTGGCCATTAGCACACAATGACAAAGACCCTTTTTCTTCCATGACAGCCTCATTTCGACCAACCTTCAAATCCAACATGTAGGAATCCACCTATGAAAGCCAGGTGTTAGCTTTGTTTCCTCAACACGCTGGCACGCACACCGACACGGCATCACGGCTGGGGAAGTACCAACACAAGGCAAACCACATGACGGCGAAGCGGTCAATCGGACGCAGGCGTAATGGACTCTGAATCGTCTGCCAATAGGCCAGGCCTATCACCACGCCCACCATGAGACCAAAGGTCATGAGGAGTCGCAGCACGGACGATTCATTGGCGACATAGGTCGGTATGGAGGCCGTCCGGGGGTAGTATGGGTGTGAGGGAGCAGTAGCGTCCATAATGTGATTTGGGTGTACACGAAGTGCAAAAACGATGGAATTGGGTACAACAGTAAGAAGAAGAAGAGGGGGGAAGCTTGCAAAGTGATCAATATCATAACATGTGATGTGATGCGTTGGGAGCTGCTGATGAGGCTCACCCGAGAATGATGGAGGATCAATCAAATTACATGAATGTTTAGTGGAGCAGAGAACATGATAGATCCACTTTTGCTGCACCAGAGACTTTGAACCAAAACGGCTTGGGGTTAGGGTTATCTGGCAAAACAGGGCTAGTATTAATCGGATGAGTACTCCGTACTGAGGTACCTGTAGGCACTAGGCAGTACGAAATACAGTGGGAGTCGCAAAATACTTAGACTATTAGACTAAATCAGGTACTAGGCTATCGCGCTTTACACTATAAAATATTAAAGTACATTTATGCATACTTATTAATGAGTAAACATATTCTGTCACAGACTATAGTATCATGTTATTTGCAGCCATGGGAAAACCAGAAAGTAGTGCCTACCACTTAGGGTCCCTACAGCGAAGCCAAAGCTGAAGAAGATCAAAGGCAACCGCAACCCCCAGAAGGCGCCAGTGACGTTTCCGCTTGGAGCACGCGACAGAGAACTTGGGCCTTTTAATGCACCTTTTGCCTACCGCCGAGCAGAGCATCTGCAAAAACCTTTTCCCCTCTGGTGTCTGAACTTGAATCCACGCCCACCACAAGCGTCTTGTTAAAAATGCCTGTCCAGCATTGCAGGGCCATGTCGAAACAGCCTCCTCGGCCGCCATCGATCGTCATGGACTTCGGGCCACTTGACTTGCCAAGCTACACTATGGAAGAGTCAGCAACCAGTCAAGAATGGCAATTCGGTGTCGATGAGAACTATTGGCGACGAATTTGTCACCATTGACCAAGGATAGAGGTTGTTGAGAAGCCCTCCGACACGTTAACAGTCCTTGGCTCTGCGCAGTCAGAACCAAAGGGCAGAACCACAGTCAGAATATGCACCACCAAACGCTCTTGTCTGGATAATTTAAATAGCATATCCCCTCAACTGCAAGTGTTGCGTGGAGGAGGTATATATACTCAATTATCCATTGCCCAAATGGCGACTCAATGCGCCAAATACGACTTTGGGAAGAAGAAACATTCCGGAACGAGAGCTAACGCGAACAGCCGTCGCCATACTTTGGATGTGACCGTGGGTAATATGCAACCATGAACTCACAAGGTCTGTTGATTGACTAAACTTCCAATAACACTGGCTAACTACAACACTTTCTTCAGTTCCAACCTGTGTCTTCAATTGAGTGTCACTCAGCCGAGCGTTGCAAGGATGGTCCATGTATCAACTTTGACAAGAGGTTCGTAGATGCCCAAAACTGACATTATATGTACGCCAAAATACCTGTAAGCACAATCCTACACGATTAGGGCGATTTAAAAATATATCAGTCTCGCCATCTCACAATGCAGCCAAATGGTGTATGAACTGGCAGATGCCTTTGCTCCTTTGATTCACCCTTCAAGATATATGCCACGGATGTCATTTTCATAGCTGCTATCATAAAGGTCGATCCCGCCATTTCAGACCAGAACAGCCTAAGCATTGGTCTTGACATCGGCGTCGGTCTTGGCCTTGCCATCGACATCAGCTTCGGCAAGGACCTTCAGCAGACCCTCAAGAAGCTGAATCTTGCTGTCCTCTGAGCTCACATCCCCACTGATGGTTTGGTTGTGCGAGACACCAGCCTTGGCATCACCATTAGCCTTTACTCTCAAGAGACCAAGCACTTTCACAAGAACGCTATGAATCTCGGCATTGACATTGGCACTTGCGTTGGCGCTCTTGAGATTCCAAGTGTTGATGCCAGCCTTGATTGTGAGAAGTTTGGCAAGCCTCAGTGTGAGCTCATGAACTTCAACGTCGATATGCACACCACGGTTGCGGATAGCACCAGCCTTGATCTCAGCCTCCACCTTTGCAGGCAACAGACTCAGCAGCCGCACGAGCAGGTTGACCTGATGAACAATCACAGCTTCGCCCTGGACTTTGGTCTTCTGGAGCTTAGACAGAATACTCTTGATCTCAACCTCGACGCTGCTGACTTGAGGTGTCAAGGTGGCGTTGGCATGTTTATCCCAGGCCTGAAGAGGTTTAGGCTGTGGCTCAACGTCAAGCTTCTCGTTCAGTTTGGCAACAACGACGGAGATGTGATGTTGCTCATCCTTGAGCAACTCGTCATTCTGTTTGCCGTTTTCTCCAATCTTGTCCAGGATGTTGATGATGGCTTTGATTTCGGCGTCAACGCCAGCCCATGCACTCTTGCTGTGGGATGCCGAAACGCCTTCATAGCCCGTCGTGTTGCCCAGAGTTATGAGTCTTTGATATGATCTTCTTGGCTTTGGCAATGACATCTGCCTTCACTAGCAGCTCTTGCGGAATAGGGCTGCTGGGAACAGCGCTCATAGAGGGTGTGGCAACAGATGGATTAGCTGAGGCTTTACCATCGACATCCTGTGTTTGTGGACGTTAGCCATGTAGAGGGACAGAGTCACCTGCATGAGACTACCGCGCGACTTACAGCGAGTGGTGCAGCAGCCGCAGCTGCACATAACGAAAGAACTTCAATGAACTTCATTTTGAGATATTCACGAGGAAAATGGACGCTGCGGGATGCAACTGTTGTTCAGCGAATGGATGAGGCTGGAAGAGCTAGTGAGCAGATAGACACTGAACAGTCGAAACCGAGACCGAACATCATGACCAGGTCAGATATATAGGCGGGCATTCTAATGCGTAATTTGCTTGTTTCTGATGTTCTACGGCCAGGACCATGATCACAATTACCAGCTCGGACTTGACCAACGACCTACAGCAAGCTGGCCGAAGCACGCTTGGTACGGGCCATATTTCCACAATCGCATTTTCGCTTCTGAGGATCCATGATCGGTTACAAGACAGATGCCTGACTGGCGGCAGTTGGTGAGAAACAATGGGCGGTTGACGAGTCTACGGCGTACGGTGTAGAGGCTTGCTAATTTGTCTACTCCACATATCAATATATAACCAACAAACTTGGCAACATGACAATGTGAGTACGTAGCAGAAGTATGGACTGAGACAAAGGGCAGGTTTTGGTCATAAACTGGGTCAAATCACATTCGCATGGAGCAGCGCAACCTGGCGTTTTCTTTGGGAGAGAACTAAGGAGTACTCCGTGCTGGTACATGATTACCCAGATATGTACTACCAAGTTGGCCTCGTGTCAGATCGGCAATGGTGTAACAGCTCATTCATCCCGTCGTCACTCTCCACCTTGTCCTCTTGTTGGTGGCAGGGAGGCCACGCGCCCGTGCTCCCAAATGATCTGATCATCAACCCCTGTGCTTGATTGTGTGTCACGGGAAACAATAGTAGTAGTAGTACTAAAAAAGAGAGTGGTGCCATGTAGTAATTCCTTGTCCAGGTGTAAAAAAAGAAAAACCCTTCTGTCCACGAAAAGGGGCACAAATTTCGGCTATTCAACCGGAGATTTTGAAACTGGGTTTTCTGGTGTTCATTAATAGTAAGAGGTAAGTTGTCTGGGATGCAATAATGAGAAGATGGCTTGAGGGTTCCGAATTCGCTTGAGACTCCCACCAGGATTGATCCAATTGGCAAGCTTTGGCATGGATTCCTCGGCGAAGCCTCATTTATCAGCTTTGAGTTCACGCCACCATCTTTTCTGCTAATTTGGAGAGTATGTAACTATGTATGTAACGGCAAAAAATTTGCACGAGACAAGATGGCTGTCCCTGTTCGACTCCCCAGTAGTAGTAAGAAGATAACAGCACGTTGTTGCATCTTTTAGAATCCTTGCCTTGTTCGTTCAGTCACGCCAAATTTGATGGCTATCGCCGGAATCACTTCCTTGATATCGCATTTGCATGTCCTTCGCAAGTGAAATCGAATACACATCGGCGTCACAGATATACCCAGGCTAGCCGCGTGAAAAAGCCTCTTGTTTATTATTCAACGGTATCTACCCCGTATCCTTCAACGCCTAAAACATGTTCGATCAAAATACCTCGCCTCGATGTCCCCGAATCGCCCTGTTCCGTTTCAAGCACAAATAGCCGTCCTCTTTCTGGTTTTGAAATACCGAGATGCCGCAGAAAGCACGGCACTCTCCGTCCCAACGTGATGTCGCATGTGAAATACCACCAGTCATGAGTTCCTTGCGGCATCCGCATCTTCAACTAGGCCTCAATATGCACGTTAGGCACCTTGGGCAGATCCTCCATCAGCTTGCCGCTATTTAAAACGTCCAGAACCTTGTTAGGAAGACTAGTATCCAGCTGACGCTTGCTCGGGTCTTGCTTTCCATCCCGCTTCAGCACGCCACCTGCGAGGCCGTTCAACACGGCATGCGACACTGTCTGAGCAAGGGTCGAAACCGAGCCCAGACCCTGTTGGCGCTTGCCGACCAGTCCGCTCCCTTCGCCAATGCTGAGATCAACGGCGGGCTGGTCAAGACGGACGGTGACATCTCCCGCCTGGGGTGCCTCTGGCGTCTCGTCGCGCTTCGAACCCCCCGGGCCACCGCCGAGGGCGCCGAGGCCACCCAGGCCGTCGGTGAGTTTCCTGAAGGAGTCGGTTGTGGCTTTGAGGGCCTTGGACAAGCCTTCTGCGGCCGCGCCGCCGGTCGTCTGGCGCTTTACCTCGGCGACGGGGGCGGCCGAAACCACGGCGCAGAGGAGAGACGCGTAAATGAACTTCATGGTGTAATGATGAGGTCCTGGTGGTGAATTAATGCAAAGAGGAGGCGGTAGTTGGTGACCTGTGGAAGAAACAGAGATGTGAAGCGGAATGAGGGAGCGACTTGAAGAATAGAGGAGAAGGATGGAATTAAGAACGCCAAGATTGCAACTGGTTGCCTGCCTACCTCCTGGTTATATACATCTCATGTTGGACAAGGCGTCGTACAAAAGCCGAAGCGGTTCGATATGCACTTTCAGTCGCGTTCGTGCCTCTCCATTCTCTAGCGTCTAAGGTGTGTCTCACCGTTACCATGGAATGATAACAATGCCGTGGCTGTTGTTTCTCGCTGCATAGCTCTTATCTCCAGGCGTGGATTGTTCTTTGTTTTGATAATTCATTTAAGCTAATTTCGGGCGATTTTAAGCTCGAATTTGCATGCGACATCGCCAGAACAAGGCACCATGATTGCTTCGGTCGGCACCGTCTAACTCGATAGTCCGTCTGAACAGGTCATACCTGTTCTCGGCCGGGGCGATTTTTTTTTATGGCTTCAAGAGTGTTCTAAGGGACGAAATCCGAGTCAGCGTGTTCCGTATGGTTTCTTTTCTCATGCGCCACGAGACGGAACGACGCAAGAGGCAGCGGCGATGGCTCATCACTCGCCTGGTAGTATGCGTATTCCTGAAGAACATCAGAGTTTCCATCGGCCCGTTGAAGGAGATAAAAGCAGTTAGGCCTGACTTTGAACCCCTCGATCTGCATGACCAGTGATGGCCTAGGTGTGGGGAAGAAGTGTGTCAAGGGAGCGGGAGAGGAATCCAGGTGTCGCGTTCGTTCCGCGAGGTCGTGGACAGACTATTTCAATGGCTTGCGTGGTATCATGTATAGACAGGAAGTGGTTTTTATGGCTGTCCTTGGAAACGAGCCGGCCGTATCTCGAAAAATTGGCCCAAGTCTTTTTTTTTTTTTTTTTTGGTGAAATTCCTCATGTGAGTATGGGAATGAGAACTAGCACACAATCGGGTCACTGGGGGGGAGTTAGTGAGGCGAATGGATATCGTCAAGTATGCATCAAGGCCAACCGCACTATGGCGGATTTAAGATGAACCCTAGTTACATACTTATGAGTGTTCGACAACTTGCCATAGTGGCATTCAAATACATATTTGTGAGAGGTTCGGCAGCCGTCTCTCTGGTGTAATGTCACATATGTAGCAGTCGTGGGGTGGTTTGCGGAGAATTTGAGACCAAGCGAATGTGATCACTGATAATGAGCCCACTTGGTCCTAGAGGGTGCGTTCCTGAAATACAATGCAGCAAAAGTATAGGGCCCAGATAGCAAGTCCTGCGTGAGCGATATACATTCTGCTCTTTAGCACCGACGCGCTCTGGCCCCAGGTCGAAACAAAGTCCCGCATAGCACTGTTTAAAATCGGGTAAACGGCAACCTAGGCAAGAGATTAGTATAACAAGTCGCCAATGAAGGTCAGGCAGTGGAATGAAGGCGGAAATTTCTACTCACCATTTCCCCTTCATGGTGATGACGGCCCAAGTAGCCCCCGTCTCGTCCACCTCCTTATCAACGTCTGTCTTGAAACAAACACCACTCATGATGCCATCGCCAAACTTCTCATTCATGACCGCCTTGTATGAATAGCCATAATTCTGGATAACCTCATAAAGGCGATAAATGAGCGGCTCAGTGGGCGGCATTTCCACGGATATGCCGCGATTCGGAAAGGCCATCATCTGCTCGGCGAGGTCATCGCGGCTTACACCAAGGAGCTCGCTCAGTTTGTCGACATCTTCGGCAGAGGCTTGAACCTGGCCGTAGAAAAGCCCAGCACAGGCGACTTCGCTGCGGCCAAGATGTTCGGCAATCTGAGCAAAGGTGAGGTTCTTGGCGGTTTTGGCTTGGAAGAGGAGGCTGCAGTGAAGAGGGAGACGGGTATCGACGTTGGCCTGTCATGATTAACGACGGGCATGGAAGTGAGGACGGAGTCATGTGCTTACGCCGATGGAAGCAAGTCGTTGCTGCTCAGGCATTGTGAGTGTAGAGACGACGATGTATACAAACTAACTAGGATCCTGTGATGGCGGCTTGCTATTCAGTGTGGGAAGAGTTGAAGCGAAATCGCGAGAGTCTCGAGTGAGGGGAAGCTTAAATAGAGGGGATAACTCGGCATCTCATTCAGTCGTCTGCCCGCGATACGACCTTGATGCAGGCCATGGATACATGGATGCATCTTTATCTTTATCGTCGGCGACCATGACGCTGCCTCGGCTACGGAGTAGACAACGGGTAGTATGCGCATTTGCTGACATTTGTGTCGGGTGCCATGTCCAGCGTCTCAGGATGCAAGATGTCTGGTGTTGGTGCTTTGCAGTACGGGGTACAGAGCACGGAGTAGTTACAGAGTACTACGAAACACAGAATGCAAGAACCCGTGCCTTATCGACCAGATGTCAGGTACCTACTGTGGTACGGGGTATCCATGTCCATTTGTACATCCCGGCGTTTCCCACGCACGTCACGGGAGACGTCAACTGGTCTGCTTTAAGTTAATTAAGTACTTAAGTAAATAGTCCGATGTCCCGTCGAATCCACCGCCATCCGCCGCAAATCCCCGACAACCGCCACAAAAACGCCCTCGTCGAACCCACATGCTGACGGCGAAATGCAACCTAATACGGAGTACTAATAAACCAACCCCAACCCCAGCCCGTCCCCTGGCATATGGCTGGCTCTGGTCTTGGTTGACACAGATGCCAGATGAAGCACAGGCTCTTTGAAACGCCCTCGACTTGCCCGACTTCATTGTCACGGTGCAAGAGCTCGAGATGCCAACTCCGCCGTCACAATGGCTTTCCCTCGAAGAATGTCGCGGCTCGTCCTGCTCACCGGCCTCGTGCTGGTCGTAATGCTGGTGATGCACATGATGCCGGGCGACGATGTCCCCTCGCCGCTGGTATCACAAAACCCTCCCGCTCCTGGAGGCCAATCGCCCCAATCACCATCACAGGATTCGCCCGGGTTAAAATTCGATTGGTCCAAAGCGAAGCTGTTCTACCCCCCAGAGTCCATTAAACCGATGCCGACTGGCTCCCCGCGAAAGCTGGGACGAGTGCAAGCCCCCGGCGACGCCTTTGCCCACGACGACGAAACAAAGAAGCGGCAGAGAGCTGTGCGGGATACTTTTAAGAAGAGTTACAACGCATACAGAACATATGCCTGGATGAAGGACGAGCTGATGCCCGTCTCGGGCGGCTTCAAGGACCCCTTTGGCGGATGGGCTGCCACTCTAGTCGATGCCCTCGACACACTCTGGATCATGGACCTGCGAGACGAGTTCCGCGAGGCAGTCAAAGCCGTCAGCGGAATCGACTGGTCCGTTACAAAGGACAACGCCGCGAATCTATTCGAAACGACAATTCGCCATCTGGGTGGCCTCTTGAGCGCATACGACCTCAGCGGCGACAAAGTTCTACTAAACAAGGCCGTCGAGCTGGCCGAGATGCTCTACCACGGGTTCGACACCCCGAACCATCTCCCCGGGTTCTGGTTCAACTACAAAGAAGCCAAAACCGGCGCTCTGGTCGCCGGCACAAACGACCCTTCTGCCTCCCCGGCCTCCCTCTGCGTCGAATTCACCCGCCTGTCGCAAATCACCGGTGACCCCAAGTACTACGACGCAACCGACCGCGTAACGCGCTTCCTCGAAAGAACCCAAAACGATACCCTTCTCCCCGGCATGTGGCCCATCGCCCTCGACTTCCGCAACGAAGCCGCCCGCAACAGCGAGTTTAGCCTTGGCGCACGAGCCGACTCCCTCTACGAGTACTTCCCGAAAATGCACGCCCTCACCGGCGGCGTCGACCCCGTATACGAGCAGATGTACCGCACGTCCATGGACACGGCCGCCCAGCACCTCCTCTTCCGGCCCATGCTGCCCAGTGAGGACGACATTCTCTTCTCGGGAGACTACCACGCCCGGAGCGCGGAGAAGCTCGTCCCGGAAAGCCAGCACCTCACCTGTTTCGCAGGCGGCATGTTCGGCCTCGGCGGCCGCCTGTTCAGCATTGACGAGCACGTCTCGCTGGGCGAGCGTCTCGCGCGCGGCTGCGGCTGGGCATACAGCGTCTTCCCGACCGGCTTGATGCCCGAGATTTTCAGGCTCATCCCCTGCAACGACAGCAAGGAGTGTCCCTGGGACGACGCCGTCTGGAAGAGGGTGGGCGGCAAGAACCTCCCCAAGGGGTTCGTCAACGCCCGCGATCCGCAGTACCAGCTGCGCCCCGAGGCAATCGAGAGCCTGTTCATACTGTACCGCATCACAGGCAAGAAGGAGCTGCAGGACACGGCGTGGGCCATGTTCCAGGCGATTCTGGCCTCGACGGAAACCAAGTATGCGTATTCGGCCATTTCGGATGTCACGACGAGCGGGAATACGAACAAGGTTGATTCAATGGAGGTCAGATAAACCCAACCCCCCTTTTTTCTTTTGCTACCCAGTGTGCGTGCTCGAGCTTTTATACCTGTGACTAGTGTTGACTATCCCGTGTGCAGAGTTTTTGGCTCGCCGAGACGCTCAAGTATTTCTATCTGATCTTTTCACCGCCGGATTTGATTAGTTTGGATGAATATGTGCTTAATACGGAAGCGCACCCTTTGAAAAGACCCACCGCAGAAGGATAAAGCATACATGTATCTATATTGTTTTGAGAGCATTATCAAGCGGACTTTACGATAGAGCATGGGACAGCCGGGGATAAACGGGATAAATCACGGAAGCTCGAACGATGGCTTAAAGCGGGCTCTGAATGAATGAGCAATATTGTATACTACGGGACCACTATACCCGGATACTGGGGTTGGCAAAAGCTGACTACACATAAAGATATCTCGGGCTCATCTGCATGGTTTATAAAGTCCAACTGCATCATCATAATCTAGCGAGTCTGGTATCTTGCCATAGTGGCCCAAACTAGCATGTTGGAATCCCTCTTCGTACTTTTGCGGTTTCCCGAAACGAAGTTGCCTACGCAAAGCGCCGTTAGAACGAGTCTATCTGTGCTCCATCATTCGTTATAGACTTACGTGTCAACCCTAAATAACATCTGGTCACGTCTTATTCCCAATTTTCTTGAACGAGCAAGCTATCCACTGTCAATATTCCACAACCTTCCGCAGTTCAAAATACGTACGGCAAGACTTACCTCAACAGTCCACGTCTAATCTGGCAATCTCACTGCGTAGAACCACCCCTCATCAGTGACATACCACCTGCAATCGCCCATATGATCAATAGTAAACCGATTGCGCTGGGTCCAGTTCCCGTCAACCTCACGAACATAGTAATAGCGAGATGGATCGTCATCAGCAGGCTTAAAGTCCTGCGGCTCGAACAAGCGGTTGCTGTAGGCAAATTCGACCTGACGGAGCATTTCCTCGTTGGGCGTACGCCCCATGCCAGACACTTCGGGCATGGCCGTAGAGGTAGGAGGAGGAGGAGGAGGGAGATTACCTGGAATGATGGGGATGGCACCTCCGCCTGCTCCCGGAGCGGCAGCGGCGGCCATCATGGGCGCTGGCATGGCGGCGGCGCTCATCATCGGCTGGCCTGGGATGCCGGGGGCACCTACAGGCACGTATGCGTGAGGGTTAAGCATGACGGGCTGCTGGGCCAAGGGCACCATTCCGGGCTGGACGACGTAGCCCTGGGGCGCGGCTGCCACTGGTTGCTGCGAGGGTGTTAGTACGAATCGTGTCATGTAATCCAAAGCAAGAGGTCATCAAAAACGGCCCAAATCAGCTCAGCAGAGAAAAACAACCGGCACTTGCATAATAGTTGTACCCCCCGACATAAAACGTCTTTGGGGAAACCACGGTAATCGTAGGCCTCACACTCGGAGCAGCAAACAAACAGGAGGAAGAAGGGGACAAGAACGAAGAATAAGGAGGACTGACATGAACAACGCCGCCGCCGCCGTATACCGGGCCACCATCAAACCTAGGCACATAGACATGTGGCATCGGCCCAAACGTGGTATCCGGCACTGGAGGCTGAAAGTTGACTCCCGTAGGGGGAGGCGCGCAGTTCTGATAATCTCCCATGTTGGCAGCAGGGAAATATGTCACGCCCTGGACAAAAGACTGCTGGTGGAATGGCGGGTGAGGATGTAGATGGGGAAAATGGGCGTACGGCGGCTGGGCTGCAGGTAGATTTATACTGCGCGTCGGGTTGGCAGCTGTAAACCACTGGTCCGAGGGAGGACGGTTGAGGTTTGGCAGAGGCGGTGGACCGACCTGCGGGTGGGAATCGGGCTGTGTGTTTTTTGGCTCTTGGGCGGCAGCTGAGCTCGGCTTTGTCTTGGAGTTGGGATCGTCAAAGTGCACTTGGCGGGAGGGAGGGTTGTCGGCCTTGGGAAGTGGACGACGAGGCTTCGGAGACTTGAGATCGGTGCCTGCCTCGGGCATGGCTAGGAATTGGCCGCTGCCGAGGGCATTTGCAGACGAGAGGTGCAGATGAGGACGAGCGTGCGAGAATAAAGACGGAATGGGAGAGAGAAAATGGGCGCGAGGGAGAGAAAGGCGCATGGAGTGTTGGCAGACAACATGTGCCCGTGTGCGTGCTCTGGGCCGCTTCACTGCTCACTTGCCGCTCACCTTGTATTCAGACGGCGCACTTCGGCTGCGAGCCAACCACGACCTAGAGAACTCGCCATACTTACTATTTTCTGCAGAGCCCAGGTGTTCCCGTCGCGTATCCAGACAGATTGCTCTGGCAATGTGTCTAGGGGGTCTTCGTATTTCGTCCACGTCCACGGGAAGCAGGGGAGGCACATGTTGGTGCGTTGATCTCTTCGTCTTGCCGGGCAGTCTGAGGGGGAAGGTTGGTGTTTGTAATGCGCCTTAAAAAGTCAGAATAAGGAGGGATTCCGCAGACTGCGTTGGATGATCAGAGGGGAAGAAGGGGTTAGTCGAGGTGAGGTGCTCAGACGTGTTTATTTTATGGCCGCCTGCAATCCGACAGCTGTGAAATATCCCATCGATTCCCATACTAGCACACAATGCCACACGTATATTCACAGCCTTCCTGTGGGCATTTCAATATCCACACACACACACACACCCTTGCTTTCTTCTCACTTCTGTTATCCAGCTTCGCACATGCATATTTCAATCATGTAAATTGTAGACCAGACGCCTCATCCTGTCTGGTCTAATGCTCGCTGGGTACCTGATGTAATAATGTACACTGAGTTCATGGGAGGAGAGATCGTCCATGACAAATGCCACCGAAAAGATAAACTCCGCCGAATCTGCTGTATCGGCATATACAAGGGGCAAAATCGGTCGCCGCCATATCCGTACATTTTCCTTCCTCACCTGCCTTCCATGCTCTTTCCTTTTTGCTTTTGCTTGGTCTTTAACCGGCCGTGTGGCATCGAGATTAGAAGTGTTGTAAATTTTAAACTGGTTTGGTGACGAAACCACCATCATGTCATATGAAGATAAAATCACAGCTTCTCAATAGGAGCTGCAGGCTCGGGAATAGGGAAGAATGATCGTCGCACAATCTTACAAAGAACTCAAGTCAGTATTTCAATGGCAACACAAGGTCATCGGGTAATTGACTCACAGCCCAGACACCGGCAACGGAGCCGACCACACCACCAGAAATCATCATTGATCGAACACCACGAGTGCTCTTAAATACCACACCACTAAGGAAGCCAGAAATAACTGTATTGGCAGAGTCATGCTTGCCGCGAAGACTACCAATTAAGGAGTTGATGCAGTTGTACACAATTGCGACAACACCGGCCGAGTTGCCGAGGAACGGTCCCCTCCGAGTCATTCCGTTGAGAATGGCATTCATTCGCAGCTTAGGAGGCTGTCCAACAGACTTCTTCAGGCCATCCTGCAGACCCCATACACCTCCTATCGACAGGGCGGCTAGATATGTGATGCCGGTACCGTAACAGAGATCATCGGTAAATCCTCGTGATGGCAGGACGGACTGGCCGCCTGGGAGTTCGGAAAGGGCAGAGTCCTCGAGCGTTAGATACTCGAGCGTATCCTTATTGAGTCCAGCGAGGGGATGCAATTGTGAGGGATCAGCAAACGTCGAGCTCTGGAGGAAGGCTTCTACTCCTTGGCCCTGGGATGGGTCGAAGCTGGTCTGCGATGAAGGGGCAGGCGCATCAAAGGCGTGTGTCTGCTCGTGTTGCTGCTGGCGCGGCTTGTTGCCGCCGGTAAAGGCGTTCCAGAGCGACGACATGGTAAGCGCTGTTCTCTGGGAAGTATTCGACTTGTTCGAGCTACGTGGAGGACAATGAAGCTGTCCGTGGGGTTGGAAAGGACCGGTTGGCAAGAGGAGAATGCTTAGCCGCAAGCTGGGTCTCCCCCGAATGACGGATGTCTGGCCAAAAATTTCTCTTCCGCAAGTCGCGCTTTCCGACCGAGTGGTCCGTGCACGACACCAATCCCGACGGTCACGTGCAGGCACCAATTGCGAATGTACACAGTACAGCTGTGGCAGAGACGAGAAATAATTTTGCGTTCGAGAATGCAACCGATGGCACCAAGAGAATATCGAAGATATCTCAACCCACGCCACGGGCATCGACGACCATGCAGAATTAGATTTGTTCATTTACCTTGTCCTGATACACCGTAGGACTTGGACTCAAGTTGCAAAGCCAGGTTAAGGACGCAGCTCGTCACGGTTTAAAAATTTGCTCCCCAGCAGCACCAGGCTCAAACCCACAGCATAGGATCATCATTCTGCAGGAAAAGCCATAACAAGTGCTAGGCCAGAAACTCGTTGGCGAGGCTTCTTTAAGCCCACATGGAGTGTTACGTCTACAACTATTCAATCCCTCTATCTCTCCATCGTGGTATGTCGGAACAACCTCAACACGGACAGCAACAATAATATCGAAAGTACGTGATAGGTAGGCAGCTTCGTTTCTCTGGGAGACCGGGAACGGCCAAACACCCACTTCGGAGGGTGCCTAGCAGCAAGTCGCCGTAGCGAAGTCTTCCGTATGAAATTAAATAATTAACATGACGGTTAATAGTTTAATCCCAACTGATGATGTAGAAGTAAGAAAAGAGAAAAATTCAAGAGGTGTCCTGGTCTGTCCGCCTTATATAGCGGAAGAAAAAAAATTATGTGGGGCAGTCTCTATGTGGGGCGGAACCTGGCGGCCTGAATCCTCGCAATTTTTACTGACCAGACCGTGAACATGTCATGACAGCTGCAGCAGACATTCCACAGATTTGTGGAGCTGAAACCTGGAACTTCAGATTGGCACCAGATCATTGTAGTCCTCGCTCGATAGCCGCTAAGCAGACACTGAGTCTCCGATAGTCATTATGAATCTATGAATGTACGGTAAAAAGAACCATCAAATGAGTGGTTGGGTCTGTGTCCCTTCGATATAAAAACGCCATGTAGCCTATCCTGTTGTGTTCCTAAAAGACCGTTTTCCCACTTAAACCAGTGCCGACCTTTTATATCCATAACTCCAGTATATTATGATTTTTTCCTTTAGGTTCAATCCATTTTCCATGCAGTAAGATGAAGCTTTTCGTTGTCGCCCACTTACGGAACTCCAGAGTCAGTTCGTTGAAGCAACGGCCTCTGATCGTAGTAAGTTTCTTCTAGAAGACCCCCAGCATTTGCCTCATCGCAGCAACGGGCCTCTTTATCCGTTTCGTTTCTGTTATAGTAAAAGTATTGGCCAAAGACGATGAGATCCATGAAGAGAGTGACCATGGCGCCTGCCAGCCAACTTAGGTTGAGAAGCATGTATCTACCGTAAATACGTCCCGTTTCACCAGGCCTGCACTCTTCATGCTGGCACTCAGGCTCGTAGGCAAATATTGATAATACGTACGTAACGTTTCCAAGGCATGCAAAGATGAAGAAGAGCATGCTTAAGCCTTCAGTCGTCTTGCGGCGGTAGTTGAGGATGAGCTGTGGCACCCGAGAGGCAATATAGAAGACAGCGCACAGGTAGCCGAAAACTTGCCCAAGGAGATTGAATTCAATGGCATCCTCTCCACCGGCTTTGGGTTCCTTATCCGTATTTGTCGCAGAATCTCCTAGCCACCAGCCTAAGACGCCGGCGGCGCAAACCATGAGAACGATAGACATATTCCAGATCAGAGTCTGCAATGCACTGGGCGGGGGTGGAGGCGGCTCGGCGTTAGAAGTATGAGGAACAGTCAGTGACAGACCAGTCCAGTCAGATCCACGACGCTCTCGGTGCTCGTAATCGCCTAACAAAGCCGTCCGTTCGGTTGCGTTGCCGTTGAACTGGGGCGACGGTTTAGGGGTAGGTGTAGTAGGTTCGTCGCGCCACGTGAATCCTCGATAGTAGAAACATTGGCCCAGAAGGACTATATCAGCCAACGTATAGTAGACGGCCAGAATAATCTATGCGACACAATATTAGCTGAAGTACACATGTCTCCAAGGCTGTGACGGATCTTACCATGGTAGGCAGGACACCCTGAAGGACGGCGCCGGCGATATTAAAGACATCTCCAATTAACCACACAATAATAAACTGAACAGACAATGCCTCGGCAGAACTGGACCTCCAGTTCGCGATAAGCTGAGGTGTGAAAACGATGACTGGGACAGGTTAGCCTCCAGATTGCCATAGACAACTTTGCTATGCAACTTACCCCAGCATGCGATTGAGATGGAGCTACATGGAGAATTTCAAGTCAGCAACCAATGATCGGAATTGAGCTGTAGCCGCAGAGGGGGTCATGGCCATTGTGCGCAGGCGGTGATGATTTGTTTGGCTGGCTTGGTTGCCTTTTCGTGGCCATGCTTCGTGATGGCATGGCATGGCCCAGATGCACAGCATAGCACGGCCCCGCCGGAGCAGCTTCCGGGTGCATCAAGCCAGGCTCGAGGTTATGGCCCAGGCCAACCAAACGAATGCAACGATGGGAAGCCGTATTCGGAGCGTGTTGTGAATGTTGGACTCACCCGCAAATTCCTGAAATAGCCTCAACATCGAGGTGCAAATTTGCCAGCGGAGGAGCCATGGTGACGACTTGCGAGAGACTTGACGACTGACTAGCCATGTCTTGGTGGATATGGCCAAGCGCAGCTGACAGGAGCGACAGTGGTCGAAAAATAGTGAAGGGACCGGAAAGCCAGACTACTTAAAGACCAGCAGGCGAAATAAAGAGAAAGGGATGACTGCGCTCCAGATCTTCCTTCTCCCATCAATCCAAAAAGAAGTTGACGTAGAGAAGAAGTTATTAAATACAGTGGCGGTGGGAGTAGAGAATTTCACGGGGCAGCCGAGGCGACGCCAGGCGACTGGGCAATCGAGATGGGAAGCAGACTTTTTTCCCGCCGTCGCCTGCTTGGCGGGCAAGCCGAATAGAGTCAAGTTTGGACACCTCAAAGTTAGCTCAGCCGCCTGGCCTGCAGGACTCAACTACAATTGAGTCGCTGACTCACTGGTAGGGCGGTTGCATGACGCAGGGGGCCGATGAGTTTATGCACTGCGTGGCTGTACTCACGGTGCTGCGTGTGTCTCAGGCTTCGTACTTGGCCAAAAGCGGATGCCAGAGAGTGGGGCTGGCCGCCAACATCAAGCCATGCATCACCGAGGTACGGGGTAGCGTCACCTCATCCAGAGGGCATTTGGCGTCAAAAGCTCAACTCCGCCACTGTTCCAGCCGACAATGTCCTCTAGAGGTGCCTATATATAGCTGGGCACATAGGTAAGTGCACTTAGGGACTTTGTCAAGTATAAAGATACTAAGGGATTTCACGTCGTCAAGCACATTAACGTAGTCCAAGGCTCGTCAATGTATCCGAGTGCTAAGAGTCAAGGCACCGTTGCAAGTCGTTCCTTCCACAGTCCAGTGGAACGCCCATTATTAAGTGTCTCCCGTTGGACAGGGAAAGGAAACCCCCCTCTTCGTTGAAGTGCCTACCCCACGCTGCTATATGGCTTGAGCCGAACAACCTTTCGCCATTCCCATGACAAGAACACGATGTTTGTGTTCAAAGTCAATCAGCTGCAGTGAGACCATGAAGCTGCCCGGGCCGACCACGAACCGAAGCACCATCTCCACGGGAGGACTCCTGCCGATGCTGGGTCTTTGCTGCCAGTGCGTTATGCCGACGCCGGAGGCGCGCCTCGGACACACTACCAAGTCAATCACGAATTCGCCTATTACTCATCACCTCCGCATTACCTCACGGAAGCTCACGCCGTCTCAGTTCCACTGTGAATAAGCCGCTCTACTGATACCGGACGTAGTCTTGTGAAATGACCTGAAGTCTCTGATATTATTTGACATTAAAAAAATCAAAATCTCAAATTTCCTGACACCATCCGGTTCGTTTCTATTAAGAATACCCAGAACACCTCGACCTCGGCACTAGACACGCACACTCCCACAATTTTCATCATACTCTACCTAAACTCTCACTTCCTCGGCATCCTTCTGGAGTTAAATACATCTCCCCCCGTCCGCCGCGGCCACCCATGACATCTACTCCCCCTCTCCTGCCTGAGCTTGCTGCTCTCACCAGCGACGACTCAATGCTCACTAGACGTTTCGGCAAGGAAGTCATCAACTACTATGCTGGTAGTCGACTTAACCGCTACTCATTCCTCCGGTCAGATGTCGCCTTTCTTAACAAAGCTGCTACAAGCTCCTCTGCGCGCTTTGTCGCATTGACGGACTTGAACCCTCTTGTGGTCGAGAAGCGAAAGCTTGCGCTGTTAACATACGACGATGTCAAGCCGCTTATCGAGGAACCATTCAAGCTAGCTGATGCACAGAGGACTAAGAACTACGATTCCACGGCGGGACCCTCCGCGCTGATTGTGTTCCTGGGCACAGTGGATGGTGATGATGTGATCTTTGAAACTTCAGAGCACGGAGAGGTCAAGGGCCGGCCGTTTTTCGCACTTGATATAACACCCAAGGGCCAGCGCAAGGACCTAGCAGAGACGTGGCTGAAGACACAGGAGGAAAAGGGACTGTGGATAGCAACAAACCCAAGAAGCCTGTCTTTGCATTCAGAAGATGGTATGTCATTTCCCACGGCATTACTATTGCCTACGCTAACTCCGGCAACAGCCGCCATGTTTGCCCAAGCCCGCTCAATAATCGACTGGAACGTCCGCAACGTCTTCTGCGCTGGCTGCGGCAACCCCAACCTATCCATTGAGGCGGGCTACAAACGCATCTGTCCGCCGACCGATCTCAAGGGAAGCTCTGAAG